TTGACGTCTGTAAATTCTAGAGTAGGTAAAATTCCGGAGGAAATTCAAGCTTCTGCTGTTTAAATTTGAAATTCGGGTGGCGCAAGTTGACCATATGAAAAAAATCTCCTCCTATTATGTATCCGTGCAAAACCCTCAACAATCTAAAAGGAATAAAAGATGGTAAAATTTGATCAGAGTTCGCGCACGTGATGCGGATTGCGCAGCTTCAGGGAGTGGGCTTGCTAAAAAAGGCCCATCTGGAGAAAGGGCGTATTTCGAGCTCAGCTTGTTAACTAAACATGCTTGTTAACTTAACCGGGTATGCCTCTTGAATTTCTCCGGCCATTTTTTCTTTTTGTTATGTGGACGTTAAGAAAAATGGTTTTGTCCAGATTTTACGGATCTAGAAATTAATTGGAAGTACAATGAGTTAAAAATGTGGGAAATATTAAAGTTTAAGTAGCTCAAATTTTGCTACACTCAGATAACTACATGCATGATGAGTTGTTAACTTTGTGCTACAATTATATATTGAAGCGAATTTTTTACTAGCTTGGTCTCAAGTTTAGTTGGTTTAGTTTGTCCTTTAGAGCTTCAAACCGTAAAACATGTGTACACTCAGGTTGAGTTTGTCGTTTAGATCTTCAAGCCCAATGTCTACTTGGTCGAGTTTTTCGTTTAGATCTTCAAGCAAAAAACGATAATGATTGAGCCTAACCTTATTAACTGCTCCGTTAACAAACTTTTCTTAAACATACGATTTGAACTCAGAAAATCACATTAGATCTAAAGGTGTAAGGTTGTGTTTATGTGTCACAAAAATTATAAAAACTAGTCTCCAAGCATGGATTAAAGCAGCAGGATTAACCGGGGGCATACCGGGGGCATGATTTGTTCTGAGCAATTCATTTCACCAGTGATATATATATTGTAGCTCAAAAATAATAACCACAATGTAAGAAAAGATTCTTTATTTTTGGCGAAAAAGAGAAAAGGCATATAAAATTAAAAGGAAGATATCCAGCTTTTTTCTTACTTGTGGAGTCGGAAAGCAAACCCGAAGAAACCTCTTAAAGGTTGTGGCTCGTTTATCATATTGGTACGTGATTTTCTTATTATTTTTTCAAAATTTATCTTGTTTCCTTAGCAAAATGCTTATGTAAATATAGGTCGCTTCACCATCGGCATTTCCAATTCGAACGAGAGAAATCCACCATTGACGCTAGACGATTTTCTCTTGGACAAAGGTTGTATTTTGGTAGTAACTGCTTTTTTTTCCCTGGTTAGTCGTTATGCATGCGCATAGTCGAGACTGAAGTTTTATTTCGAAAATATTTACAAATGGCCAATATTATATTTCTGAACCAACCTGCAGGTAATGGATTTTCTTACGCGAAAACTCGGCAGCTTATTACTCAAACGACGCATTGTCAGCAAAACTTACTTACATTTTCCTTCGAAAGGTGAGAAAATGTTGTCAAAGTAATTTTTTTTTTTTCTAACCCAAACTTAAAAGGCAATTCGTTACATCCCCTGTTTCGTGTTTCATTTGTTCTTCAGCTCATCATTTAGTATTCTTAAAACTATTCAGCATATGACAAAGTATGCTTTTTTATCTCATGAATGGTTTTTTCAGTGGCTAATAAATCATCTCAAATACATTAACAATCCGCTCTGCATCTCTGGTGACTCGGGCTCCGGCATTACCATTCCTCTTATTGTGAAATTAAGGTATATATATACAAGTCGATCAAGAGAGCTCGCTAACAACTTGACCTGTATAACATTTTGTAGAGGTTTAATCGATTCGGCACAATCAAGTTGGGCACGGTGAGCTCTTCTTTTCGTCCGCAACGTTCGAAATACAGTGCCTTATAACCAAACTTTCACGAACAAAAGTTATCGAGTTTTAGTTTACAGGTAAAAAAGTTTCTATATTCTTGTTCCTTTTCTTTCCTCATGCTTCTGACGTGGAAGTTTTTTTTTTTTTTTTTTTTNNTTTTTTTTTTTTTTTCCTTAGAATTTTCGTTTGATCTTCAAAAAACAGTCGTATAACTAATCAAATTTTTTTTGATACGTACCCATGAATAACCGCAGCCACACATGAGGAAAATAATTTATTTATTGGGTAAGAACCATTTAGATTAACTAAGGACATTGTGTGTTTTGAAGTATTGACTATAAGGTCATTGTGGGCCAGCAATTAATGGTCCCAACTACTATGCAATAATGGTTTTCTTGTACTACTCAACTCAAAAGTCCAGAATCAGATCTAATTATCAAATTCACACACATTCATCTGAGTGAGTAATTCAGTTTCTTCTTCACCTGAGAAAACTATTGTTTGCTGCTTTCAGTTCTCATCTCATAGTTCTTCTTATTAGCTATTGATTTCAGCAAACAGGGGATCCATGGCAGCTTATGGATTTCTCTTACCACCACCATACACCAAATCCAGAATCACCCTCGCCCACCCATCTCCCTCCACAAATAAAAATCGAACTCTGATAAAAAAAGTTGCTTTCTTGCAAGATTTTCTTGAAAACTATACCATTGATGATGATGATGCAGATGATTTGGAGGGGCGTATGGTTGATGCTGCTCACGAGGCAGAAGATATAATTGAGTCCCACATTGCCGATCATATTGGTCATATCAGGGATGAATATGAAGAGTCTTTGTATCGATACATACAGAAAATGATGGAGGAACCAGAGGAGGCAGAGGAGTCCCAAATTGACCATCATATCGAGGAAGCTTGTAATGAAGCTAACGAAGACGACGACTCTTGGTTGTATCCAGAGCTACAAAGAGTGATTAACGATTTGGATTCCATCACAAAAGACGTGGCTGCTGCTATTAAAGACAAGGCCAGGAAAAAATTGCTCCCAAGGGTGACGCCACCACAGATGATGTCATGAACCATGTCATCCTGGATAAGCTGACCATCAGTCCTTATTCGGAGAGGGTGGGGGGTTCCAATGATGTCATGAACGATGTCATGGGTAAGCTTACCGATCGACAATCCATTCGTTGGATCATTGCAATTGCGGGCATGGCGGCATTCGTAAGACCGGAGGGACTTAGTGAAAGACTAGGGAAATGGAACGTCAGACCTGGGGAACCATTCTCGCGCTTGCGAAGACTTAACGGGACTGTGGAAGGAAATAGTAACTAACCTCTACTCTTGCAAAAAATATTTATGAAGGTCCTCTAATCGTGGAACACTTTGATATGCGAGGATGGAGTACAATTTCTCAAGAATTTAATTCCAAAAGAATCTTGTTAGAAGTCCTTCACTGTATAGGGTGTACAGGGAGTGAGGACAGCGAATATGAAGAATTAGGAAAAGAACTGTATCAGAGCTTATTTGGCCGGCGATATTTGATTGTTGATGTATGACATTTGGTGTACGGACGCTTGGGACGAGATGAAGCGCTTCTTTCCGGTTAAAGCAAGGTACTAATAACAACTAGGTCATTGGAAGTGGCATTGCAACTGGATGGCCCTGGCTACTTTCAAATGATGTTTCTAAAGCTGGATGAAAGTTGGAAGAAGGATGACACGAACGATGTCATGAACGACGTTATGGGTAATCTGGTCGATGGACAATCCAGTCGTCAGATCATTGCAATTGCGGGCATGGGGGGCACTGGTAAGACCACTCTTGCAAAAAATATTTAGGGCGTGCTTGTATACAAATATATCTGCTCAAATAGATTTTTTTGGTTAACCAAGGTTAATTTGGAAAAATGTGGTATGGTTAATTGCTTGTAAGATTTTGATTTTATATTAAAATAGTATTTAAAATAAAATAGTTAAAATTCATTTGATGTAAAAGTAGAAGAGAGATATGTAAAGTGATAAATAGTGAATTAAAAATGATATGACTTGTAAGAATGATGCTTGATATTATTTAATTATATTGATAATATTGGGGATAGTTGAATTGAGTTAATGTTGAGTTAGATTTTGAGTATGGATTGAGTTTATTTGTATCCAAACACATCCTTATGAATGTCGTCTAATTGTGGAACACTTTGATATGCGAGGATGGACTACAATTTATCAAGAATTTAATTCCAAAAGAATCTTGTTAGAAAACCTTCACTGTATAGGGTGTAGGAGCAGTGTTTTAAAACGCGTAAGCGTAATGCGTCGCGTTTTGGTTTTATACTGTGTACCGTAAATTGCGTTGCGTGTAGCGTAAGCTATTTGGGTATTAATTTTTTTTATAAAAATATTACAAGTATATTTGCATATAATAAAAATGGATGGTTGATTACAAAAATTATCATAGTATGACTTCAAAAGGAAAATTCAGCGTATTTTTCCCAACAGTTTCGTGGTCTCATCTGTCGAGGGAATTGGAAGTATAGCTATCTTGATGACCGCACGATAAGTACCTGCATTCGATTGGCGAAAGGGAACTGGGGATATTCTTCACAACATTTTTTTTATTGACATTGCTGCAATTGCTAACGAATATGCCTCTGTTTTAGCAGGTTTCATTTCTCAACTGCCCATACAGCAACATATTGACCTCATCTTTCGATTGGACTTCACTGAGTTTTACAGCCAGTTGACTTGATGAGGCCCAGTGCAGGCTGGCTTTGTAGTATCTTGAGCAACAAGTTAATCAACTTCTGAATTATCTGTAGCATTTTCCTGGGTTGTACAGTGTTGTCCTCAGCTATGTATATTTTGTCTCCATATGTTCTTCATGCAAGAGCTTGTTTGCATTTATATGTTTTACAGTAGTTGACCCGTATTTTGTTTCGTTATCAGGAAAGCTTTTGCAACTGAATTGCCCTCCAGACCTAAAATGAGTAACTTCTTTTAACGTATATTGACAACAATTTTCTGAGTAGATTCACTAAACAAAAGAACAAACATGTTTTGGATTCACACAAGTATCTATCTATACACAATGTGTGTTACAAAAATAGCATCTCCCATTTTTTCAACTTCCGACTTTTCTTTACTACTGTACAAGGCTGCATTTTTCCTGGGAGCACTTAGGGAGGCCGGAGAGTGTTTTTTGGAGCACTAATCCAAGGAGAACCAGCTATTGCAAATCTCCATAGCGCGGTAACATGCTCTGGTGAGGCATACTCTATGCCAACTCTTGGGCCAACGAGTATCTTTTCAGGTTCTGGCCCGTCTAAAAGTTCCAAACCACCTATATTAAAACAACTCTCATTACCAACGAGTGTTTTTAGTTTACTATACTACAAATTAATTAATGCATAGCATACCAGGAGCGAAAAGAGGATGGTTAGACCACTCGGTCGAGATTCCCAGCGCTTGACCAACCTAGTCAGACAAAAATATTTTTTTCAAAGAAAATATATTGAAATATAATCATGGGTGTGCAAATGATATAAAGTTTCAACTTTCACATTATAATCTTCCACATGGTTGTGCAGGTAATAAAGGGGTAGCCAATAACCATACCGCTTTAGCAAATAAATCTTTACACTTACTTAAATGTCATATTTTGAAAAACCAACACTCTGTAATAATCTAGATATGAAAACAAATTGTGATAAATTACCTTCCCAGGCCCGGCAAGAAGAACAGGTTTCTCAGACTTTAAACCTCTGCGCTGTTGAATGGTTTCCAGTCCTAAAATAAACAGTAGCATAAAAGCACAATTCATGTAACAAATATGGGTTTCTTTGAGTAAGAAAACATTATATGATACAAACTACTAAGCAGCTATGTTACTCATTCAAGATTGCGAAGAATCTCATATAGCATATTCACTCCTCAATGCAAGTGTATATTATCACCGATAGAACTTACTTCTCAGCCATAATGTAATAATCAGGTAACAATATTGAACTTATATACAAGAAGATGACTAAAAGTTTATGTTGCAAAGAGCAGGCTTTCGGGGTTAAATTTACCACTGATAGGAGCACATGAACGAATGAGGACAGCTGCACCGAGTCCTTCCTTGTCAGCCACCACATTAAGCATTGTATGCAGACCATAACAGAGATAAACGTATGCATGGCCTCCAGGTCCAAACTATGGGCAATTTACGCACATGAATAGTTAGAATTTCGCAAAGAATTGCATACAGCACGGGCTATAAGGTACGCGATGAATTATATTACATTAAAGGGTGGTATGATTTTAAGGGAACCATTGTACGTGCACAAACACATGACACGAGATGCACAAAGTAGTTACCAAATATGTTTTACTCTTCATTCTAAAAATCCAACAATACTCTGTGATAAACATCTTAGATCTTTTCTGTCCTTCGATGTCTTAAGTCGTCACAAGACATGATGGAAAATCTAGAATAAGTTCACACTAGTCTGGGTGTAACTCTTATGACATATACGAAGGAAATGAACACTTCCAACAAACCCCTTGACAAGAAAGCACATACAAGTGAGGAAATTGGACCACTCTTAACAAATTTGGTCAAAAATTCCATGTGTAAGCTAAACACGCAGCAACGCTTTTACAGAACAGTTAAAGTTCTTCCATTTCATTACATCAAATCATTATCAAGAACCTCTGATCAAAATAAAACAAAATTTGAGTAGTAAGGCAGAAGTTACAATAGGAGATGATAAGTCCACAATTTACCACAGGGGCAGTCCTTGCCGTAATCCCAAACCGTCCGTGACAAGCCGAGTCATTTGGCCTATAAGCCTCAACCTTTTGCAAACACATCAAAACACAAATACACAGACAATATTATCAATCCCAAGTCAAGTAAACCTTCCACATTCTTATAAACAACATCATCAACCACACAAAAACGCACACACAGAGAGAGACATCACATAAACCCATTAACAAAGCAGCGGTTTGATTGAGTGAGGAGAAAATGATGACCTCAGTTATCTGAAGAATTACGTCATCCTTCCTGAGATATTTCCCCAGCAAACGTGGGGCGAGGTCGAGGGCGTCAACCTGGTAGAAATCAGAGGTCAAAATTGGAAATTTATCCAGGAAATCGGACGAAATGGATGTTTCATCGTTTTCTCGCGAATGTTTTTCGGGTTTCGCTGTAGTTGATTTCCGTTTTCGCGACACTACAAGGGTTGCTGGTTTCTTGATAATTGTTGTTGAGCTTCTGATTTCGACTGCCTTTCTGGGGCATTGAGTTTTCTTCTTGTTCATTTGGGTTAGGTGAGAAGAAAAGGAAGAGCTTTGGGAATTGGGTTGGATTGCAGAGAGGAAAGGTTTGAACTTGATCGCCATATGGTATGGAAAATGTTGAGTTCAAATGTGTTTGTTAAATAAAAGTCAACATTGTCTTCTTGGAATTTTTTTTGCCCTACAATTTTTTAGTCACAACCTCCATCACGGTTCGTCTGCAATTTCGTAACAATCACGTTGTTAAGCGTCAGACACAAATCCTTGATCCCCGTCGAAAGATCGGCAAACCAATTCGTGAAACGCACGTCCAACTCGTGAAATCGGTAGTCAATCTGTTGAAACCGATCGTTGATGGTTGCATCACGTTGTTCGTTTGCGGCATCTCTTCGTCCCGACGACATCGCGAATCGTACTGACTTCTGATACCAACTGATTTAGGGAAGCGTACGAATAGAAAAGATAAAAGAGATACTCTCTCTTGAAAATACGCAAGAATATATTTCTTGTTTCATATTCAACTGTTTAATAACAAAGCATAACAACCCTTTAAATAAGACTCTAACCCTAAACTTAATTTATCCCCAAACTAATCATTATTTAATAAATATACTACTATTACTAATAATAATAATACTGCATCAACAAGGTAACATTTAAGTATGCATTTTTATCTATACAATATGATGTTCAATATGTGCTTTGGCTTTCGTACCGTGTATTTCACGGGTGCTAGCTAATTTTTTTCTTAAAATCTAAAATTAATGAGAAAAAATTAGTTTGAAAATTTAAATATCTTTTATAAGAATATATATATATATATATATTATTATATATTTATTATGACATTTTTTATTTGTGCAACTTACTTGTGTTATATTATACTAATTTTTTTAACTTACAATACATAACTACATTACATATAAATATATGAATTGAAAAGTAATTTTATTTTTCTAATAAATTTCAATAAATATTATTATTTTTTATTATTATACAGATAAATATAATTTATTTATTTCATATATATATATAATATGAATGTCAAATTGAAGATCATCAAAAGATGATTACTGTGATAATGTAAAACCGATAAGAAATACAAAAGTTATCAACTTTTAATATACATTTATAATTCAATAGCTTATTGAAGGAAACAAATCAAAATTCAGGGATATATTAATCACTTAGTGTCTCACTATGTAAAATTACAAAGAATTAAAGGTTACATTAGTAAAAGTGATATTAAAATACCTAAATTAGCTAAATAATATTTATGAAATATCTGAACCTAGATTATTAATTATTAATATATCAATATTATTTATCCAAACCTAATTACGAAGCATGATTCTTCGCCAAATAGGATTCCGAAGCACCAGAAACAGCCACGTAG